CTAATGGATCAGAGAAGCTATGCAAGCTCTTGCTTCGCTTCAGCGCGGACGAGCTGCATTCAGATTGACAAGAAGCTTTCGCTCTCTTGTTCACTGTGCAGAAGTTTCACTTTCCCACAGTATTGCTCGGTTCAGGCTGAAGGCCTGCTGTTGCGATAAGAGGATCGCTCCGAAGAACCATGGGCGCGTCGGCGCCTGCGGGTGACTGTCGCCATGACCTCGCGTGCTCTACCCGTGATCGTGCGGGAATGCACGCTGCATTCACGGTCGCCCGGATTACAAAGTTCTCGATTCAGTCGACTTCTTCGATCGTCTTGTGCCGTCGTGCGGCAGCAGTCCCGCGAGGCTGGAGCCCTTCGAACTCCCTTATTCCTATGACTGTGCTGGATATAACAGTATAATGACTACCGCTGCTTACTACTTTATTCCAGATGAAGCTGTACGATCGGTGAGTCGGTGGAAGCGACCCGACGCAGTCGTTTCTATTACTAATCGTTTTAAAGTTTAATGCATAAACTGAGAAGTAGAAAAGTGAGAAAGTGATAAGTAAGGTGGTTAAGTCCATTTCGTAGTCGTTTCATGTAAAGGTGATCAACTAGTTGTATTTACTCACATCCGCGATAGCCTGCATTATGGGTCAGGAGTTTGATAGTTTACCACTCAAGTCATTGAGCCCGGCCTCCCTAAATGATCCGAGCACCATCGATGCGCAACACCTGCCCTAAATCATTCGTGACAATTTTGGGAGGAATTTGATGGACTGCGATTCCGCTCAAGCGGAGCGTTGGGATAAGGTACGCGAATTCCGAGGATTTTTAACAAACCAGTTGGGCTATGCAGCTAACGTGTGCATTATATGTCCACGTACGCTCATCTACGACGGATCATTCGGCGGAGTGTTGGATTATCAGGATAAGATAGTGCTCTCTAGATTTGAACACTGAACCGCCTTAAGAGCAATAGCTTGAGCTGAATAATTAATGGTTGATCATAGCCCAACCACCTCAGTGCAAACTCTTCACACCATAAAAGTTTGATCACCCTTTTTCAACTGCCTTTGACCATATTCCCCTCATTACAAAAAATTTTTTTAACAGGGTTATGAATTATTGATCATAACTCGCCGCCCCCCCCCCCCCCCAACCCCGTGCAAGCTCGGACCGACTCAGGAAATTAGTCACAATTCTTCTACTAAACATAACCACTTCTCCCCGCGTTCTATAACGTTGACGGATACAGCTATAATTTTTGATCTAAGCTCCGCCCACTTTAGAGCGCCCCCTTCAAGAATTCGACAATATTCGTTCCATTAACTCTAACCACTTTTTCCCCGCGTTTACATCGTTTCTTAACAGGGTTGATGATATATAATAAATCCAGTAAGCGTACTATGACAGCTCACTTGCGAGTGTATTCAATAAAGTTGAAATTAAAGGTAAAAATTTTTAATTAATCAAGTCATATTCAAATGCCACATCAGGATTTGTCTGAATTCTTCATTTGCTATACTGCACCGGTTCTGCCCGATCTTCTTCGTTGAATCATTGCGCCCACGGGTGTAAGGATGCCCTCGTCTCCTCCGGTTCTCAGTCGTATGGTATCCATGTCGTTATCTTGCGGGCCCACTCGTTTTCGTCCATTTCACGATTTTTTTTGCCCATTGTAGTCATTTCACATTCGCTTCTTTTGTCCAGTTGTTTAGCTTCGTGAGTGATCTTACTCTTTCATTGCTCCACCGATCCAGCACTGTCAGTTGCAGCATTTTCCCTTCCATCTCCCTTTGAGTGACATCCAAATTTGCGAAGTCTGACTTTCGCAACGACGACGTCTCCGCTCTGTGAAGCACTGTTGGCGTAACACAGCAGTCGAAAGCTCTTTTCTTCAGTGGTAGGGATACCGTACGGCTGCGAATATACTCGAGCTTTTAGAAAGCATTCTAGCCGCACTGAATTTGGTGCCTAATCTCGGCTGGTCGGCTAAGGGGAAGGGTAAAGGGCGTGCTCAAAAAAGTTGAATGTTTTCCCATCAATACAAATTGCGAGACGGTCGTTTGGCGCGGCCCTTCGCAGCCACTTTGCCATTGGGGCGCATGGGCTTCAATTGCCACCCATACAACGCAATTTCTGCGTGAACCAACTCGTTCATATCAGTCCAGCTCATGGTTTACGATCAGCTACTGAAATAATCAGAGTTTCTTCGCACATAGGTGCGAGGCGACCCTGATTAGGAGTGAAGACTCAGGGGTCACTAAACTCCCAGACATCCTTATCAATCTAGTTGGAAGTGAAAGAATTGTAAAGATTATATGGAATAATGGTCTGAAAACAAATATAGTTATTAAGTTATTAGTTTTAGAAGTTATCATCGTGCATAAGTGAAATTATAATAGCTAATTGTACAAGTACCATTTTCTCTTGGTGGTAAACTAGCATTTAGATGATGAATTGAATCTCTTCCAGCATTGACTGACTGGAGCGCTTTCCGGGACGGAACATCCCCGCCAAATTATCGTAAATCTCTTTCCACAGTTCTGATTTCATAGCCACTGCCACTGCCCAACTTGTGGCTGGAGAAGGATAGCCTCACAAGAATATGTAAACAGCTGTCAAGAAATGCTGATTTCAAATGGAGAGAAAGAAAACTAAAGTTCAGCAAGAAAAGTTCAGCGAGAAACGGAAGCCCGCAAGTCCGAAATTCCACCATGCAGTGGTGAATGATGCCCTTCAAGACCTGGTCAACCTTTCCGAGAACAGTAGAAGTGCTTTGGAATTTTTCGAAAATTTTTATGTGCGAAATTTCTTGGATTTCATCTAGTGGTTGTCCTTTTTGATCTGTGAGAGCAGAAAAACAGTAAGCTGGTACGTGCTACTTCGTGCTATGAATGTGGATGAGTTTGAAATACTGATGTGATTCTCAAAATGTATATAAATGATGTAATTTGCACATAGGAATGATGGAAATTGATAACTCCTAAAATTCTTGGCAATTTTTTCCTCATACTCGAATGATGAGGTTGACTGGAAATTGTTAGTCGATACAAGGCCGCTGACGAATGACCTCGGGGAGGTTGCTATTCCTGCAGGGCTTCCTTGCTCTTCATGAGACTGGAGGGAAAGAAGTCTTGCACAAAAAGCCCGATGAGGTTCTCATTGGGCATCAAGCGCTCTTTCATAACTTCCTGACATGATCAATCTGGCATGGCTTCGAAGATGTGAAGATGTCTCTTGTCCGAGCTGTCCTCAGAATGATGAATAGGAATCTCGCTACATCGTTGTGTGCATTAACATTCCACATTTGACATTTCATATCTATACCCTGTCAGGCTTCTTCTGATAGCAGGGCTCCGTTTGGTCCCATCCTAAAGTAGGCAACAGGGTTTTTTTGTGAAAGGCTTCGCAAACCGACTCTCGTCTGCTGCTTAATCACTCTACTGCAGTCAGGTTTTGGCTCCCGTACTACCCTCAATCTGGTTCATTACCTTTAACCATATGTTGTTGAATTTCTTCGGCTCTTACACCTTTGTTGGTTATCAGGTTTCCCTCAGGAAGTGAGCTATTCATCCGAGTTAGTGACAACAAAAGAGTATTCTATGGCTCCTCCGCTCTTCAATGCGACATAAGATAGATACCTGGCATGGAGTGAGCCACTAGGTTATCAAGAAATGAACTTTCCTGGCTGAAGTGGTCAGTGCAAGCCATATCACAACGGAGGAGACCAAACGAAACGACGTGGTTGCAGCTGCAGTAAAACCTCTCAAGCTCTGCAACTTCGTTGTGAACAGGGTGAGTGGGTGAATCGCGGTTTGAGTTTGAGCATAGAGTGGCACCCGACAATAAGGCTGGGGGTCGTGCACAAGTGGACTGCACCGACTACCAGGAGGATGAATTCTATATAAGCCTTGACGATGCCATCAGATCGATTTCACAAGGTGAAATCTCACATAGTAGAATATATTAGTAGTTGTGGAGGAAAGTGTTTAGAATGTGCCCATAGAGGCAGTTAAAACAAGGGGAAAAGAGCGCTCCTAAGCTGACTGTAGCTACGACCTGGCAGTATGATGCAATTTCTACTCAAAAGGGAGATTTATAAGGTAACGGTGTGGAGAGACGGCCATGGCACGGATTCTGGAAAGGTCGTCCCTCAATATTGTGAAGACATGGAGGTTTTCTCAGTAAGAGGCAACAACGAGCTGGGAGAGAAGGTGGTGACGTGATTGTGAAACAATAAATTCTCAAGAGCTGAAAAGAATAAGGAAACACGTTCAAGCGCTGGCACAAGGCATAGATGTTAAGAACTTATTGTCTATAATAGTTCAAAAAGAGTAAGGCAGCAGTAGCGAAATAAAAGGAGATGGAATAGAACGCCAACGTCAAACGAACGGAAATTGCGAACTCTCAACCCTGTTACTGATGAAGGAAGGAAGGACCTCAGATATGATACTCGGGGTCTGTTCATTTGTAATAGTGACATGACTTTCTAGACCCGTTCTTCTAAGAACTTTTGTGTTCTGTGCTGGCTCTTCGGTGATTCGCGATAACACGAAGAAATTATTATTTCGATTCCAGACTTGCGGAAATGCTTGCTCTGAGTCGTAAGGAACAGGACTTGAGAACGCTCAAACCGTTCAAGTTTCTTTGATGGTTCAACCTAACATTGGAGTCTCAGGCCTTCAACACTGAGAATGTTGTGGGATTTCGGATTGCACTATATTGATAATGTGACTGTCTGTATCTGTAAAAAGTGTTTGAGAGTCGGTGAGAAGTTCAGCTTTCTTTTATTGCTTCTCCGAATCCTTCACTCTCCCTGTTCAATTCCGTCTCGGATTGTGAGCTCTGAATTTGCAATTGTGGTTACGCAATTCTGAATTTTACAGTGATTTTTGGAGCGCTTGCTATTTGATGCAGAACAAGCGTCGTCATCCGTGATCTGCATCCGCCTCGGTGTTGTATAGAACGAGTCTTGCCCGTTTGAAATGCGCGGGAGCCCAAGCACGCGCGGTAATGCGACCGCAGCTATATTGTTTTGCTGAAAATATTGACAGAGAGGCTACTCACGTGTCTGGATTTGGAGCCAGATCTGCTTTGAGTAAGCGAGCTCTTCAGGTAAGACTTTGCTGTCTTTTACTCCTTGGCCTTCTAGTACTGTCCCTCTCATTCAGCATATTTTCAGGCGGCAGTAATTGCACACGTCGTGTCTCTGTTTGCTTGCTCCACAGCAAGTGGCAGCTTCGGTCCCTACAGTGCAAAGAGTTCTGCACCTTGCCTTGCAGCTCCTACTAATATTCCGAATGTGGTTCGCTATTTTGTACAATCTTCATCGCAAACAAGATTTACATAAACTAAGTGCAACAGCTACATAATGTAAGTAGATCAGAAGAGAAATGAAGTTGTTTTCCCCGACTGTCATTGTGGCAGTGCTGCTACCCTACGAGAAATGAAGTCATCATCTTTGATTGGAAGATCCGAAGCCGTCAACTATTGCGCAGTCTACAGAAAAGTTACATCAAATACATGCCCGCAAGCTCACTTTATATTTTCGTCGTTTTTTTCAACCTCCTTTCTGAACTTCGTAAGTACAATATAACAAACCTGCTGGATTGTCGCATTTTATGTGTAAGATTCATCGCCATCCGGCTGTCTCGTTCAGTAACTGGTGAAAATGCTTCTGTGATACTTCAGCGCCCATTGCTGGCGGAACGGGCGATTCACGCGTGGCTCCACGAGAGCTCTATGCGCACGCAGTACACGCCGCACCACGCGGCAGATTACATAGGCCGCTTTCGGACTTCAACGACCGTCCGTCCGTCCTTTCAACGCGTGCGCGACGTAGAGTAATGTTGACAGCGCTGGCACGTGATCTAGTGTTGTCAACAACGGTCAGGCGCCGCCGTCGCAGCACGCACGCGACTGCCGTCGCGCACGCGTTGAACGGACGGTCGGATTAATCGTTGTCAGCTGGAACGGGCCAAACGGAACTTGCACTAGTTCATAGCTTCACATGAAGTAGTGCCCTTTATTATGGCAATGAAGCCCCTCCGAGGTTAAGGATTCGATTCATAGGCCAACAATTTACTCGTCAAACGTTCAAATAAGAGTAACTTTGAAATGTTTCGAACTTATATACACAATCCTTCTGTAAACGTGTATAGTTGATCTTTTTTTTCTTGTCTTTAATGAATTTCTATTTCTCCCATTATGATGGTAGGCATGATGTTTCAGCGCGTAGTCCACGGTACCGCGCCGCCGTAGGCCCCGTCCTTCACGCGAGATGACCTCATTATATGGATGCGTGGATCGCACTGCATCCCTCCCCCCTCCCCCATTGCCCAGCTCATCTGAATCGCGAAATAACGTTCGTGAAAGAATAAACATCTCGCCACATCGTAGCTTTCGAGTGATTAATCTGGAGGGCCGGTCTCCTATCGTTCGCACGAACTTCCCCTTCGTTGAGCATTTCCTCCTTAATTCTTGCATATGTAAGCCACTACTCCTTTTTAATAGCGAGATCATGTGATTTTTCCAGACGCTATGCCACCTCCTAAGTTTCTGAAAAAATTTGATTTCAGATCTTCCCAATTCTATGTCCACTACCGCGAACACTTGACTCCTCCCCTCTTATGTAGTCTCTATCGACTTCCTGTTTTAGATAAGCGCTCACCCCACTGGCTTTGAACAGAGTCGTAAATGTCTGTAGTAAGCACTTGTGTTGAGAACTTCCATCGGGCTCAGCTTGCTTAAGGTGTGCTCAAAACACCGTATACCTTGCTCATTTCTGCCGTTTTTTGTGGGTTACAGTTTATGCTGATCTTAATTATTAAGTAGTTAGTAGTAGTTTAAGTATTTATTTATTCATTTGGTGCACGCTTAGATGCGACTACAATTCTATGATCACATTAATCTAACAAACTGCACAAAAGGTAGGAAGATCTCCAGTCAGTAGAGAAAAAAATGAAACTAAGTAGAAGTGCGCTGCAGGAAGATTAGATTGGTACTAAGAGCTGTATGACAGTTGAAAAACGTCCACATTCGATTTCAGTTGGCGGATGACGCCAGGGATAATGCCACTCCCAGACAAACACTAGGATACCTGTGGAATAGGGTACCGAATTTTCGGTTGTTAGGTATTCCCTATCCCTAACAATTTGGCCTTCGGCCCACCATCACGATTATCACAGCCTTGAAAGAATCATTCAGTTGTGAAATGGGAAAATGTAGTGAAATAAGAAAATCCAATTCTAGTGCAGAGGACTCATTACTAAGTTTATTAGTACTCCTCGCTGGAGACTTACTACGTAGTGAAAAGAATCAGGCCCAAAGACAATAGATTGCAACAAAACTAAATAAACAAACAAAAAACGAGTTATGACACAACAGAAAAGAATCGGAAGTCTGGCAACAGGCCTTCAAGCCCTTTGATACACCACGAGTTGCAAAAAGCATCAGCAGGAAGAGGTTACGAGCAGAATGATGAGGAACTTTTTCCACGTCTTTCGAAAGAGGCTTCAATAAGCTTACATTCCGAGGCGTTATAACAAGTCGATTTTCTTCAACCTTCTTTTGAAAAGGTTGCTATTTTGCATCTGAAGCCATTTTGAATGACGGAAAAGTAGAGAGTCAGGACCTTTGCAATGCTGTTTTTTCACAAGCTCTGTGGAGAGGGCTTGTTGACGCGCTCTCGAAAGACATAAAAATCTAGTAAGTACTTGGCTTCAGCCTCAGTTCACCCTTCAGAGGCTTGAAACAGAACACCACATCGTTAAAATGCGTCGATAAAGTAGGGTTTTGAGTTCGAGTCTATGCTGACGCTTTCTGTAACCGGGCACACCATCAAGGTGATCTGGACATGGATAGCATTGAGACATGGTGAGGGTTTGCTGGGCTTTCTCTATTTTCACTTGGAGCTTCTTCGTGTAGGGGCTCCAGATCTGTGACCCATGTTGTAAAGCTGAGACTACGTAAAGTTTCATCAAAGTAGATGCATCGTTGCAGTGGATCTTCCGGAAAGTAGCAGAAAGAACTCCAATTGCCTTTTGTACAATAAAACTAATGTAGTGATCAAAGTTCAGCCTCGAGCTCATAATATTTTCTCAATTTGAAGTACAGATGTATTTGACAAGTTCACGGTAACTTCCCAGGCATTAGCCCTTCCATCATGTTTATAATGGACTGAGTTAAGGCTTGATGAATGCAGTCGTGAGTGGTTTCAATATAAACGGCGTAAGCACCTTCATATCGTAACCATACATGCGAACCTTCACAGCTGGATGTGCATATTTGTAGACTAAATTTTTCCAACTTGCTCAATAAGTTTCCATATAGTTGCTATATGAATAAGGATGGTTACCCACTTTGATACACTCAACGTACCTCTTTACTTGCTTAGCCAACCTTATAAAGGCCGAACTATTAGGCTTATCCGTAGACCACACTAGCTATCACTCGCTCACCCTGCATTTGAAGGTCACAATGCCCGCAATTTTTGCAAGTTTGTCACAGAGGATGAGGACGAACGTCGTCCTCATCCTTCTGGGAGGATGGAATCGACAAGCTGCCTGCGTTTCATCGTTGAGCAGTGGATGGTGATGTGTATATCTCTAATCTTCAAGCTGGTTCGCTATTGAGATATCCTACTATATATTATAACGCGCTAAGTGTGTTGGTTTGTCTGTGTGTATGTGTGTATGTGTGCATGTGTATGTGTGGAGATGTTCTGAATGACGTCTTGTCCCGATATTACTGGCAGATCCTGGATGACCCGACCGAAAACTACGACGAGCTGGTCCGGGATCTCCTCGTTTGTGCTGAACAGGCTAAGCTTCCGCGAGTGAATACTTCCGCGCGCATTTCAGATGCGACGAAGGGTCTTCTCAGAACAAGAAGCTTGAGGCTTGACCAGAACGCCACACATCTCGAAAGGCTGCAAGTATCAGCTGCAGACAAGCAGTGCGGCGAGACCTTCAGCTATACAGAGAGAGGAGTCTACTGGAGACAGCCTTGAACAGAACTAGTCTGAGAAAATGCCATCGGGATCTTCAGAACCACAGTATTCCACTTTTGTGTTTAAAGAAGGAGGACGGAACACTTATTACATCGAGGTTTGAGATGGAGGAAGTTACACGATGGTTTTACACCAAACTCTACCGATCCACGACACACATGCGAAAACCTTAAATCCCCACCGGCGGAACAGCAACTCGGATTCTTCCTTCGGAGGTGAGAGTTGCGATTACGAGCATGAAAAGGACACAACTCTTGGCCCCAACAAGGTCTCAGCCGACCTACTCCGTGCAGGAGGCTACGAACTTCATGCTCTTTTCGCAACACATATGACAACCTACCTTCAGAAGGAGAAGATCCCCAACCAGTGGGGGAACTCGCGGATGGTCATTCTTCACAAGAAGGGAGACCGGGATGATCCTCGCAATTACCGCCCAATAAGCTTGTTAAGTGTGCTTTACAAGCTATTCACGAAGATCATTCTGACCCGCATATCGCGAACGCTGGATGAAGCTTAATCTGTAGATGCAGGTCTGATTCCGGATGGAATTCAGCTGCTTAGACCACATCCAAGCGGTCGCGATGGTCATCGAAGTGTGCCGAGAATTTCGAATGCCTCTTGTCCTTACCTTTGTCGACTACGAAAAGCGTTTGACAGCGTCGAAACGAATGCAGTCCTGTCAGCACTGGTCGATCAAGGAGTGGACCGTCCCTACATAAAAACACTAGCTGACTGCAGCAGTCGTTGTAGCGCGACGGNTTGTCCTTACCTTTGTCGACTACGAAAAGCGTTTGACAGCGTCGAAACGAATGCAGTCCTGTCAGCACTGGTCGATCAAGGAGTGCACCCTCCTTACATAAGAACACTAGCTGACTGCAGCAGTCGCTGCAGCGCGACGGTGAAGCTGTTCCAACAACCTCTTCCCATTCCCATAGGAAAGGGTGAGACAGGGCGACACTACTTCGCCGAAACTATTCACAGCCGCGCTGCAGTGGGTTATGAAGTCGCTCGACTGGGAAGAAAAGGGCATTCGCGTGGACGGGCAGGAAAGAAGGCAGGGCTGCGGATCAACCAAACATAGACACAGTTCATGAAGAATGCTTAGACCGATGAAGGTCATATTAAGATCGATGGTAACCCATCAAGGAGACCTCGTCATACATTGAACTCGGGCGTTCCACAACGACATGAGGGAAGAACTGGTGAGACGGCAGAAAGCAGCGTGGGCAGCTTTCGGACCTCTGAAAGAGGTTACCAACCATCTGGCTGACCCGGAACGTCGCGCTGATCTGTTCGGTTCCAAAGTTCTTTCTGCTCTCTGTTACGGGTCGGAGACTTGAGTGACCAGTGCATCCACGTCAAGGGCTTTGAGCATCAGTCACAGAGCACTCAACCGATGTCTTTCGCGGTTCAACCGGCTTACTCATTAACGAAATGAACTCGCTGAACGACTCCTCACATCGCCATCTTCGTCGAATCCTGAGTCTACAGTGGATGGCGATTGCGAAAGACAGAAGCGATGCTTTTTTGCTGGTGCTCGCACATGAGTGAAGACGGGCCGTGTAAGTATAAGTAACCTTCGGAAAGAGAACACCCATAGAAGATTCTCGTTACTCGCTATTCAGGAAAATTGCTATCGCTCTCGCTAATACGCACACACACCCTCAATGTTGTCGAAAATGTGAAATGAAATGAAAAAATGTCAAACATTCGCTACGACACTGTATTCAGTACTCCCTTTTAAGTGTTACAGATCATTCTTTGAGCATGTAAAGTCACATTTGAGACCGCTTATAAGGGTTGCACCCTTCATGGCAATAAAAATGGAGTCATCGCTTCGCGAAGAATGCCTCATAGCAGTGGATGAAAAGGGTAAATGAAGCGTGAAGCGTGGTCAGGAATGTAGGATCGATTACTTTTAAAAGAATAATGCGAGACACTGAGCGAAGATGGTGTAGAGGTATGTGGTGAACTCTCATACGCGCATGGTCTGGGAGTCGAATTCTGGCTTGATATCCGCCTGGGGCAACCAGATCTTCTATCGCGTTGAAGTCGGTTAATTTGAATAAGCCTCGTCTGGGAAGGCAAAAACATTGGTTTGCACATTGTCTGGCCACCACAGTTCGTTGTGTGGACCATATACGCGTCAAATACGTCACTACATTTCCGAATGAAAGTCGAATGCTGGGTCACCTGTTGATACGGGATTGACTGATGCCAAAGACTTCATCCCACATTCTTAGAGTATGACAACCCGGAGTAAGCAAACTGTTAATGAGTGACTGACGGTAGGGCTTATGATCATGATGAGAGAGTCTCCTTTTGTTGCTTCTAACTGTTTAATCAATAACCTACTATATTGTTTGCATTTCATAATAGGTTGAGCTTTATCCCTTCTATACCTCTACCCGTGCGGTAAAGTTTGTAGAGCGTGAAACCTGATTGAATAATCAGTCTTGGACCAGTAGAAGATGTCCCAATTAGCAATGAATAATGTTTTGATAAATGATAGTTAGTTGTCAAGTTGGACACAATTACAGTCTTAGTTAGTCACAAGTTCTAATATTCACAGACGTCATGTCACAGTCGGTATGCGAGAAAATCCTTGTGGAACAAATCAATGGTTATTTAGTGGAGAGAAAAAATTGTCATTTAGGTGCGTGCTATATTAACTCAAAAATAGATCATATCGGGAAAGCTTTGCTTTGCCAAAAACAGCTACAGTCAGTAGCCAATGGGTTCTCGTTTTTCGCGTTCTCGTGACAATTGGATTTGTTCTTCGTTCGAGCTGTGAATCGGGGATGGTCATGAGATTCTTACGCGGTTCAATTCTACACCTTGCAAAAACGAATCACTTTAGTCGTAGGCACAGTTCACGACAATTTCGGGTAATCCAGATTTTGACGGAAAATGGAGGATGGGAAATAGTGGGATAAAACAGTGCGTGAATCGGTTTCTCAAAAGTGAGAAAATCGCTTCAAAGGAGGATGGACTAGAGTGAGGCGAGAAAAATGAAGAATGGGGGCGCTTGGACGAGCTATACAATGTACGTCATGCGGCTCTCTTGTGGGTCCTGATGCGAATAGCTGACTTCGGGTGAGCAAAAATTCATCCACTTTCAAGCATAAGTAAACAGAAAATTCCTAGTAACACCGAAAATAGCCCACCATTCGAGTCTCTTAAGGTAGAAAATTAGAATAAGGTTCGCAGCAGCAAAAAAACTAACAGAGAATGAAGGAATGGGAGAAGAACGTCGCTTCATTACTCGCCGATCAGCTGATTATGTGTGAGTCCTAGAGCGAATATTGCAATCTGTATCGCCTCGACACTCGTCTGGCGTGACATCGATCGAGGGGCGAAAAACCGGGCGAATTGGAAACGGGGCTCACGCTATGCCCTAGCTGTTGAGTTTTGAGACGTGACAGCGTCCTTCCTGTTACCCCTAGGGGACACTGGGTATTCCTAAGAGGAGAACTCAGAAACCATTTTTATCGTGAACTGCGCTTTCAAGTAAACCCGCTCCACCGCATAATGCAATTTTTGCAATTTGTGCAAACGAAAGTCAATTTCTCCCTCTGGAACGGCAGTGTTTAGAGAGGCAATCGGAATCTCGTGCGATATGATTTTATGAGCTTTTCGTTCACCAAACGAAGTATCTTGTCAGGGTACGTGCGGATATTCTTTGTTATCTTTTGTGGTGATACGCTTTTGAGAAGGATTCATTTTCAAACGAGGTAACGCGACCATCTCTAAGCCACATCCGAACATTTGAATGAAACCTAGCCATGATGGTCTGGTCTTCAAGTGCTGAAGTTTTCTAAAGCAATTTGTATTATCAAATGAGCACATCGCGTTCAGCATCTGTTGAGGTTGCGGGCTTAGAAACATCATTTCTTCAGACAGAGGATCACCCATATCTATAACTGAAACGAAGAATTGACGTAGACGCATTATTTTGACCTTATTTATTCTAGAACATGGAACGCCATCATCTTTTGGGAAGTCACTGTCAGTTTGTTTTCATAAAATTTTCTAGATTTCGAAAAGATGTGTATAGTCATGAATCAATCACAAGCTAGCTCACGCCCCGAGCTATGCCTCACAGGGGGTGTGTGTACATTAGTGCGATACGAGCTGCGCGGGGCGAATCGCGCGGCGAAATTCAAAGCGATTCTAAGAGCATTAGCGCGCGCTTAATGTTGGAACCCAAATTTGGAGTAGATTAGTAGGATCATCTGGTCACACTAATCTACACTATTTCAAGCTTGTGCCCCAATAGTAGGCGCCACGGTCGTTTAAATGGACACGAATTTCGCCGCGCATTGCCGCACGCAGCTCGAATCGCACGAATGTACCGTCCCCCTCACAGGTTATGACGGGAGAAGTGTTGTGTGCATGGGCACTGTGTGCGAAGATTGCAAAGAATGGAATAGTATGTAGTTACCTTCCTCTCACCAGGGAAAGATCCCAAGTCGAAGTGGCCATTTGAAGTGAGACCTACACTGCAGGACGTGTTTTAGGACGCTGAGTTCAAATCTGCTTTCCGAATTTGCCGAGCGTTTCTCTGAACAGAGTCACGAGGGTGGTTTCAAGGAGCTTAACATAAGAAAACTTAAATTACATGGATGTGCCTCAGTTTCCAACGGGAGATTGGTGTAGTGGTAGGCGTGTCGCTTTTGTGCGAGAGACTAGGGTTCGGGTTTTGTGGAGGACGGAATTTTTGCATTTTATTGAATTTTCCCTTAAGGACTGGAAAATACTCTCATGGTGTTTTTATTGCGTTCTATGACCTTTTCATGCTTTTGCTGATATCTATCCACATGAAGTAATACTTCAGTATTACTCGCATGCCCATGCACTCCATATTCACAGCAGGATAACTTTTGCCACTTTATGGAGCTTGAGACCAAGAAGCTTTTCACAATGGGAGCAACGGATGAAAAAGATTTGATAACAGCCCATTGCTTTGCACTTACTAACCCCAAATCAGAAGGAAAAGAGAACTGTGTAGGCGTTCCAAAATCACCCGAGTGAGAGCTTGAGTCGCCGGCGGCATACCATGAATAAAAAAGAAATTTCCTAAATCGAATAGCACAGAATTGGAAGTAGACAAGCGATAGTAGGCAAAGATGGGGTCTCGTGTGGACATGCAAAAGTTGAGATCATGAGCTATTACATATGAGGTGATGCGTTTAATCATATTTGAAAGGAAGTAAGAAATGAGCTTCTATCGGCTGTGTTAGCCTCGTGTTGGTCTCAAGCAGGGTGTCATTCCCTTCACCTGCTTTATTGAAGTTAAGACGCATTGAATAGCTTTTTGGTCTTTGAATGATGTCCACGGGTCCAGCAGAGAAATACTTTCCCCAAGTTAAAGGGCTTGATATGGGTGAACAACTGGCACCGGTTCTTGCTGTTTGTTCTATAGGTACAGTTGAAGAGCCAGTTTTGGAACGACAGCCTTTAATGTTCTGCAGAGATACCGACTACTACTTCATCGTAACGTCTTCACTGTTCGAAATGAACGAATGTTTTCGACTTATGAATGAACAGTCACAGTGTAAAACTCACACGAAAGATACCACATAATGGTTGGCTCCCCTATCGTAACACACAAGTCAAAGTGTCTAACGGCGTTGTCAGTGCAAAGTGATAACGTACAGCTATTAGGTCGTGAAGAAAGTTCTTGCGTTTTTGACGCACAATTTTCAAATGCTCTCTGCGGTGTTATTTGCTATTAGACTGTTTGCAGATTTTATACCATTCTCAAGCGCGTTTCTTGCTCTATCCAAATATGTGATCGGTTCTGTCCTGGAGTGATTCCTAGGGTTTTTTAGAAGATCGAAATCAGCATGGACAAACGACAGATCCGCACGATTTTTCTTTTCCAATTCAAATTGGGCACGAGTGTGACGGAAAAGGCACGGGATATCAGCGATGCCTTTGGTCCAGGTACGACGAATCAATGTACAGCACAGTGATGGTTTAAAAAATATCGTACCGGCGATGAGAGCATGGAGGAAGATGAGCGTAGTGGGCGGCCATCGGCCGTCGACAATGGACAATTGAGGACGTTAGTGGAAGAGAACCCACATACGACGCTGAAGGAGCTTGGCTCAAGATTGAATGTTTCCAACAGGACGGTTGGCACCAACATGCAGGAGATCGGGAAGTCGAAGAAGCTTGATAAGTGGGTGCCGCATGAGTTGACTCAGCACCAGAAAGACCACCGCTTCGAGGTCGCCCCGCCTTGCTTCTGCGCAACAGGAACGATCCACTTTTAGAACGTGTTGTGACGTGTGATGAGAAATGGATTCTGCACGACAACCGGCGACGATCAGGCCAGTGGCTGGACAAGGATCAAGCCCACGACATTTTCGTAAGACGAAGCAGCATGGAAAGAAGATCATGGTTCTGGTTTGGTGGTCTGCAGCCGTTCTGATCCTCCACAGCTTCATAGATCCGGGTGAAACCGTAGCAGCCGAAAAGTACCAAAAAGTACAAGAAATTGACGGAATGCATCGAAAACTCCAGCTCATGAGCCCGGCACTGGTGAATAGGGAGAGGCCAATTCTACTCCGCTACAACGCTCGGCCCCACGTCGCACAACTTACCCTGAGGAAATTGATGAAGCTAGGCTATGAAACTCTCCCGCATCCACAATATTCCCCAGACCTTGCTCCCACAGACCATTTCTTAAAACATTTCGACGGTTTTTTCAAGGGGGAATGCTTCAAATCCCAACGCGATGCTGCCGTGGCATTCGACGATTTCGTCTCCTCTAGATCTCCGGACTTCTACGTGAATGGGATAACCAAACTTGTTTCTCGTTGGCAAAAGTGTGTATAAAAGTGTATTGGTTGTTATTTCGATTGATGATGTTTTGTTTGAGCCGAGATATGTGCATTTGAAGTTTGAGGCGCGGAACTCAAAAACTTTTCTCGAGTCCTACTGTTAAAAGATATCCTAATTCACGCTACATCAGCTCATCCGCAAGCCGTAAACGTGCAGTCGTTAACAACATGCTGAGAACGGCAGCAAGTATCTGCACGGGTGAAATTGAGCTTCACGAGTCACGACGTTTAGCTTGCGAGATAGCTTCTGTCAATGACTACACGATACCGCAAAGACGTGGAAGGGGGGTCGGTACGCAAGGGTCTTCGCGCATCACAGAACTACCACCTTCTCTCCCTTTCATCTTCGATAAGGTCAGCACTGCAACACGGCAGGGCATTTTCAGAGCTGATCTGCGAGATGTTGTCCAATTGGTGTACATACCCAACAGCAACATCAAGCAACAGTTGGTTCGGAACCGGCTACACGATAAACAGTGCTCGATGAGAACGACTGCACCATATGTCCCACGGGAAAACAGGTGATTGCGCACTTATGGACATGATCTACCAGCTAGAATGTCGGGCATGTGGATCACACTATATCGGCGAGACGGACGACAACTAGCTATACGGATAAAAGAGGTATATGCACTAGTGTGATGCGGGAAAACCTTTTGACAGCGCTCGGTTGGCATAAAATTGAGGAACACAACGGCGGCAATTTTGAAGTGAGGTGCGCGATATAAGAGAGTCGTGAGACGAGAAGGAGACGGAAATTTCAGGAAGAAAGGCATTAGAGGCGTTCTGAACTCTGCAAAAGAATCCCAAGATGATTAACAGAGACGAGTGTCCTTCCATAACCAGTAGCCTCTTGCCATACATACCGCTCTGCGAATTGATGGTCAGTGGCATCGTAATGTGATCTTCCTTATCTAAATAAGAGATACATCAAGAAGTCTCATTCGCTTCTGACAGTCGCATGTGGCAACAGCGGATCCTATCCGCTTTGACGGTGGAGCTTGGTGAGTATTTCAAACAGTGGGTAGTTTTCCGATGAGTTCCTGTGGTTCTTTGCTAGAGAGTCAAACGCTATCGGGTATTGCAAACCATCTCGAATTGCGTCCGGGCCTCTGAAGACGACGATTACGTTGAAGTGTTAGGCCGCTAACCTAATAGTGTTTCACCTAAAAACTTCGAACGGCAGAAGAATTTCAACAACGTAAACGACAGTGCCGAGGTTTAAACAAGGGAGATGTTGGGGACTCTACGAACAGAGTTATGAGGTTTTGAGCTCTGCCAAGTTTGCACATGCTCAGCACGCAGAAGGTTTTGCTAACTTCATTTCTTTCTCTCTGGCTTCCACGCCTTCGTTGAATCGAGTTATGAACCTATGCGAGGAGTTCCGTCACCTGCGAAAACGCTCCGGACAGTGCCGATGAGTCAGCATCATTTCACTTGTTGTCCCATCTCTCACCTTCGCTCATTTTTTCTCGGCGTCTGGACTGTTGTTAGACCGAATGAGAAATATGAACCTGATTGTGAGACACCGCCTACTCCTGTGCTTGTACACCCTGTGTGGGCGGAGCTCTCTCGTACTAGACCCTCGAGGTGCTCCCTCAGATAGTATCGTATTTCACAGACAGACAGGCAGACGCAAGCGCTTTGTACATATCAGCATGAATACTTTTCATATGGTTTTCCAATATTTCCATTATGGTCTTCCAATGTTCATCTTGACTTAGCACCGCTATTTTGAGCCCTTTCTTTCAAGGTTCGCAATTCAAGCGCACAGTGTTTCGTGTGGTCGGATCATACGTTGTTCGAAATATGTTCTCTTTCCCCGGAGGACCGAATTCAGCAACTTCGTGCCACCTTCCTTTTTCCAGATAATCAGCCAATTTCTTTACATTCGGTAGGTTGTAATCTTTCTTCTTGAAAATTAAACGATTGCGCAAACATTGTATAGATTTTCTCTGCTGGCTCGAGCACCTACTCTTGGTCGAGACGTCTTCTTGCTGGTGTCCACGGCGCAGACTGCGTTCGTGAGAAGGACTTTCTTTGCCGTGCATGCTTTGATCGCCTCGTTGCTGCACTTCGACGTTTCGAGGATGCTTACAAGTCTTTTGATCAAGTTAGTCTTATACAGACATCAATTTTGCATTTATATTAGATCGTCGGAAAGTCTTGCACATTTTCGTTTCCACGTTGTAAGATCTTTGGGGGTTGCTTTGGGACGGTCGTTGCGAAGCTTGGGAAAGCGCAGGTCAATGCGCTTTTCGCACCATATCTGCCGCAGCACCTCGCAACGGTTGTGGCTTGAATGATACCCTCTATTTAGAGACCGTTGATCTAAATCGGGCGTCAAGGAATATATGTGTTTAATAACACGGCAAGACATGGGTACCGTAAGTTCGAGAATGGTCACTTTGATTTGACAGAAAATTACGATCTGTGAGATCAGCTGTTCTGAATGACTGGTCCTTCTGAAGCTGGTTGAAGGGGATCCCAGGAATAGTACCTACGACCTGGTACAGGAGCTGAATGGACGTCACATCACAATAGCTGCCCATTTGTTTCGTCACGGTAAGTTTCGGAGTATGGGCCCTATGGAGTGAGTGGTAACCAGCTCAAATACATGCCTCAACCTGTTGAATTTACGACGCTCCTTCGCATGGCTTGATGACTTAATCGTCGGTGAGAGAAGTAGGCTCTCTCTCCAAGTTAACAGATGAGGAGACGCCGATGGCCTGGACGCGTAGAGCATAGATATCTACATACAAACCAAAACTCCAAGTCAAGAAGGCAATGCTCTGCGTTGGATGGTATGGGGATCGTTCCGTGAGAGTTACTGCCATCGGACTCCATTATCACCGCCGAAGTCCACAGTTTTCAACTGGATGGCATTGCTGCAGTTCTACGAGAGAAACAGCGAGATGACCACTTTCTCCACGACGATGCTCACCCATACATTGCGAAGAAGACACAGAAGAAACTTCGGAGCTCGGGATGGCATGTTCTGATCCGCTCACCGTATTCATCAGATATGCTACAACAGACTATCACCTGTTCCTATCGCTATCGAGCCATTTGAAAACAAAGAATTCAATGATCTGAATTAACTCGAGATGTGAATGGGCGAGTTTTTCTCCTAGAAACATCATTAATTCTATGCGAACAGAATACAAAAGGTGCATGATAAAAAGAAATATATTCTCGATTACAGTGGTTCAAATATATGCTAATCGTTAGGTGTTGTGAAGGAAGCAATTAATTTAGAAAAAATTAAAAAAAAATGTGCAAAGACTTTTCCGACATCCCCAATACAATTGAGTACAACCATAGACCGGCTGATAAGATTGTTGTCGCTTTCATAAGGGACGGCGAGATTTGTTCAAGGGTTTCCGGTGAAGGGTGAAGGTTAAAAAAAGAAGGGAACGAAAGGCGTTGCTTGTAAACACTGCCTATTTTCTTCTACTCCATTTCGTTTCTGAATCAAGAGGCAGTGCTCGTGTTCTTACCACTGGTCGGGATATGACTTCGGTCTTTGCTCGTCCAATATTTTTGTTTTAGACATTGTTTCGTTTTGATTGCATGCCAGCTGTGGACACAGCCAGCGCTACAAGGCCATTTTCGCCAAATGGAAGCTGCACAACATGTCGGGTTTGTTTTTTATGCTTCTGATGCTTTCATCTGATTCGATATTGCTTATCGGTTAGGCCTTCGTACGTACGAAGCGTACGTGACGACGGACCAGTTCTTTGACCAAAATTGTTACCATGAAGTTTGGGTCTACGGGTGTTTCGTTCCCCGTAGACCCAAACTGGTAATTCACTTGGAATAAAAGAGTCATCGTTGGTTCATGCTACACACTTCTTAACCAATCTCCAGATCTGGAATGTACCACCTGTTTTGTTTAAATCCCACATACTTTCAACCCTTTTTTCAAAGCTCCTACTAACTTCTGCGATTTTTTTGTACACGCCACCCACTACTTCCTCAGCGGCCAATTAATCTCGTACCTTGCCGGGATCTCTGGTTGTAGCAGCAACTAGTGTACAATGTAACTTTTGCATTTGGCCTCTACTCCTACAATGGTCCCATCGGCTATCGCTTTTGCAACTAGACCGCGCACATTTCCAATACTTTCCCGTATTCCGTCCTCGGAGAGCATTCAAACTCTCCTTATCTTCTAATTTCAATCTGCCATTACACGTGCTTAAGCGCATCAGAACGGTTTTACGAGTTTTTCAGTTAAATCTCATATACATTGTCGCACCCATTCCACCTCCAATGAATAGTTGATCCAAAGTTTACATTCGCTCTGTTCAATGCTTCAGTCACGTCCTTACCAATTCTTCGGATTCTTGGTTTTTCCGAGCTCATATTTTTTTCGAAAGTCCTAGAAATGTTTTGAAGAGTTGTAATTTTTTTCACTATAGGTCAGATATCTCGGTGCTCTTCGGTGGATGATAATCTTCATCCTCTTTTTTCAGCTTTCTGAAACTAGCTCTGTATACTTTGTCGTTAAAAGCACCCGACGCCCGTTATAACTGGGACTCTACTCAATTCAACTAGCTTGGCATACCTTAGGCATCGATCAGTTCACCAACGTTTTCTTGAGGAATCGAAATATGGTTCTATGTGATACACACCGCCCAATTAGAGCCCATTGGCGAGTCTCCATTGTTCTATACATTAATACAATGCCCACTTTTGCTTATTTCCCCAGTGGAACTGATTTAGAAGTCACACATTCAGCACCCATTTCAATGTTTAACCATTTTGCTCGGGACTCTTGATGCTTCAAATGTAACGAATCCCAGGGAATGCTTTATACTGCTCGATGCAAGGTGATAGGACACCCCCTAAAACAGTTGTTATGAAATCACCCTTTTCACAGTTCGCCTCTTTGTATTCTAAAAAAGTCAAACGTTCGCTCAAATTGTGTCAAGTTGCTCCATTGAAGAAAATTTTCTTGTGGTAGGTCGTTGCCAGCTACGTCAAAAACCTACCACGGTACCAACGAAGCCCTTTTAAAGATTAAGCGCTCTACCAGAAAGTACTTGACGTTGGTTTCCGAACGCTGCATCAAAAAAAAATTATAATGCTGAAGAGGCAACAGTTGTGTTTTATTTATGTATTACATGCGCAAGCACACGTCGTCGGAGAATGAGATGTAAGGAAAGTTGACCAAGTAAAACGTAACAAAACTATCAGAACGGATCCAACGTAGCAACTGAGGAATAGCAAAAGTATTATAAAACAAGGTTAAAGCGTGAGAATGGGTTCTGAAACAAGTAAAGCACAGTAGATCACTGATAAGAATTGCCTTGGTTAGGATTACTATAGGCAACTCTTTAAAATCTGAAAACTTAAATGAAACCTGAATCTTTTTACTGTTCCTTATGTATTCATGTCAGTCCTGAGCGTGGAAAAGTTGCACCACAAAACAGGCTCAAGTTGCTGGATCACAAGCTTGAGCCTTCTAGCTCTAAGAGACAACGGAGTTAGGAGAAAAAGATCATCGATTTCAGACCAATCACACCACGAAATATTTTATAGACCATGAAAAGGTCGTTACGCTTTCATTTAACATTGAAGGATTTGAGCTTTAATAGCTTATTAATAATAAAACGACAGGGGTACTGCTACAAGTGAAGCCAAGCTAACGAACAAAGGCTTTTTCGTGAAACTGTGTTGGACTCATTCTAATCTGCCCACAAAGGCTTTCCATCGCGGAGAGAGAATGCACATACTATATTCTAGCATGGTTCCCACAAGTGACTCACATTCTTTAATAAAACGACCTGAACAACTGGAAAAGTCTTACCTCAGCATTGGCAACAAACCGACAGTGCTCATCGAAAGAAACATCATTGCCAATTGGGAAACCCGTATTCCCTGCAAGTGTTCTCAAGCGGGTCTGCCGCTGTTCCTCTCCTTCTTGCTCTCTTCGTGCTCTTGCCCTTTGACCGAGTCCTTCTAAGCGAGCTTGTCTCTGTTCCTCTCCTTCTTGCTCCCTTCGTGCTCTTGCTCAACAACCCTTCCTGAGCGTGATCGCCGTTCCTCTTCCCCTTCCTGTTCTCTCCGCGCTCTTGCTCTTTCTGCAACCCTTCCTAAGCGTGATCGTCGTTCCTCTTCACCTTCCTGTTCTCTCCTCGCTCTTGCACTTTCAGCGATGCTTTTTAAACGTGGTCGTCGTTCCTCTTCTCCTTCCTGCTCTCTCCGCATTCTAGCTGTCTCTGCATATCTTTCTAAACGGTCTCTCCGCTGTTCTCCCTCCTGGGCTCTTCTCAATCTAGCTCTTTCAGCAGCTCTTGTTGGATAAGCGCATCTATGCTCTTCGCTTTCCTGACTTCTTTGCGTTAAGGTAACATCCTCAAAATTGCTTCCTCTAGTTCCGCTCATTGCTTTCTGCGAAGAGTGTTCAAAAGAGGTGCAGAAACTGAAACACGATCTGCATAGAAACTGCATAACATTTACTGTCAGACGTCATGCCGAGAATAATTGTACGTCGGGTTTATACCTTCTTCTCCCTTTTCTTTCCTCAGATAATTTGGATGTGATACACCCCTTAACCTTTGGTTTATTTTTTGACTTTCTCTTAGCAGTATATAAGCTACGAGACATTGAAACTGTGAAAAAGCCACCGTTATCTATCATTTCTTCTGCGTCACCTCTACACACACGGATGAAGGCGGTGATAAAGTGAATTGGTTACTATTTGGCAATTGTACTTGGTCAGAAATTTGTCACCTGACCACACATTAATGTATGATGTAACCTGGTACACGTTGAAAACCATGAATAATTTTTGGTAAAGAAAAAAAGATCTATTAAAGTATAAATTTCAGCATTCAAAGAAAAAAGGAATGTTCAGTTCATAAAATGCGGCATTTAAAGTTAAAGAAAAGGCTCTTCAAATCAGAATCATGCATGCAACAATAAAAAAGGCCAAAAATGGAGCAAAAATTCAATTGGAATCAGGTGTGGAGAATCTATATCGAGCTGCAGGGTTATATTATCTACAGTAATAATGTTTCAAACTGATTTCACGTACTTGTCAGATAATCTGTAGCTCTTTCTGTAAAGATAATCAGATCAGAGTAGTATGAGCCAAAACTGTAACATTGATAAATAAAAATGACTCAAGCTTTGGATTGGATTGGGAATTGGAAACTATCCTTAAGGAATAATTGTGGCAAAGTTGGACAGAAACGTTGTAGTTATTGGCTACTTGAGGTTGAACAACTCCGATTAGCCTTACGATCAAAAACTGTGGACCATCAAAGCAAAGAAGAGAAGAGCATCAAAGAAATAATCCTAGCTTCGGGTGGAAGCACTGAACTTCGGAGGGAGAAGGTTGGAATATCTAGAAAAATGGATCACAGATCTGAGCGAAAGAGTAAAACTGCCGTGCCACCTTGAGGGAGATGACTTGTATATACTGATGATAATGCCTTCGAAAGATATTTCAGCTTTGAGGGTTTGCCTGATGTCAACTCCTTACGAAAAAATTGCGTGAGAGCAATCCATTATGTCAGAGCATATGTATATGGAAGTAAGGGTTCATTCAATGCTGTATATGGGAAATCTATCTTCGACACCTCACTAATGCTAAGGTAGAGTGCATTTCCTACCAAAGTCCATTGCTGCGGTAAGATGGGAAAGATGTCGCAAAAAATTCGTCAAAATTCTAGCAAATAACAGTGATAAATACTAATTAAAGGCACAGTTCACGATAATTTGGGTAATCCAGATTATGACGAGAAATGGAAGATAAGATGGAAAATAGTGCGATGGAGGCGAAGGAACTGCGTGGGTCGGTGTTTCCGAAGTGAAAAATGCTTCGAAAAAAACCTTAAAAAGGGGTCTGACGAGAATGAGACCTGAAGAATTAAGAAGAGTGGGGCGTCTGGACGAGCTGCGCACAGTGCTTCATTATGTAAGTGGGGTCCTGGTGCAAATAACTGACTACGGTAAGCAAAAATTCACTCTCCTATAAGCATAAGTAAACAAAAAACCCTAGTTACAGCAAAAATAATCACCTTTTTCAGCCTCCTAAGGTAGGAAGTTAAAAAAAGGGATCGCGGCAGCAAAAAGAATAGCAGAAGAAAAAAATGGGAGAAAAACGTTGCCTCATCTCTCGGCGATCAACTGTTGTGTGTGGGTCCTAGAACGAATAAAAGCAATCAGTATTGCCTCGACACTCGTCTGACGTGACATCGATCGAGAAGCGGGAAAGCCACTCAAGCCAGCAACAGGGCTTCCACTATTCCCTGGACCGTCGAGATTTTAGGAGCGAGAGGGTCTCTTCTATCATTCATGGGGGCCAGTGAGTATTCCTAAGGGAAAAACTCAGTAAGCATTTCATCGTGAACCGCGCCTTTAATGCTTCTATGTAATCGGGTATATTATAGAGCCTAGCAATCTGTTTTCTTCAACAAAATGGAAACAGGAAAGACAGAGTTAATTATTGAAGAGCAGTAAGAAAACCATAAAGGCAGAAGATCAAGTACTGTAACAAAAAAAGTTTCATGTACCCTAAAATTCCATAGATAAGAGCGGGTGAACCTACCGGTGAAAAATGAATTGGAAAAAATCGAAATTTAATGCAGTCACCCCTCTAACTTGATGGATGGATAAAATAAACTTCGAAGAAGAAGTTAAGAAGAAGCTCCGTCCCTCACTCTAAACCGCGCCCACTTAATAAACGATTCATATAGAAAAACAGCGATCCGTTAAAATCGCTATTTTTCTATATGAATTGTTTATTAAGTGGGCGGGGTTTAGAGTTGAGGGGCGGAGCTTCTTCCTAACTTCTCTTTCGAAGTTTAATTTATCCATCCATCAAGTTAGAGGGGTGACTGCATTCAATTTCGATTTTTTCCAATTCATTTTTCACCGGTATGTTCACCCGCTCTTATCTATGGAATTTTAGAGTAAATAGTTGGTAAATGTACTGGTAATCCCTGGAGGTTGGTCCACATTCGAGGCTGCCCTCATCCATGAATGTATTCCTAGGCACATAAGGTGTTGTAACACGAATGCGACTGCAGCCTTTAGGCCGGCCTATGCCCATGCATATATGGTCAAGTATATAAAATCATGTCGTCACGTTGAGGAACTGTGGTGATATAATTCGATTATTTGTTACCTATACAGAATTTGAATGGTTGATCGCGTATGGTTCATTTAGGGCAAACAGATGCACGCATGTATTAAGAAATCCTATAGTTGCAGGGGTTGTCGGCAAAAAAATCAACCAAGTCGGGTCTTTTCTGGCTTGGTTGACTTCTACATATGCATAAATTACCTCTTATATTTATAGCGAATGTTGAGTGTATGGCGCTTCCCCCGTCCAATCGTACTCCTGAAATTCCAGATAAAAATCGGAATCGCGGAGTATTCTCGCACCTCATAATTGTGATGGATGTCGGCAGAAATCAACCAATCAGGGGTCTTTTTTCTACCTAGGTTTACTTTTACATATACTTCAAATACTTTTTATATTTCAAGCGGATGATGGTGCATGGCGAGTCCATGATGAATCATTCCGCTGAGATTCCAGGTGGAAATAGGGTCCGTGGCACATTCTCATACCTCATAATTGTAATGTATGTCGGCAAAAAACCAACCAAATAGGGGTCTTTTCCTTATCTATGTTGACTTTTACATACAGTGTGTTTCTTAATTATGAGGTCACCCTCAAATTTTGCACTTTGAGAAGAAGCAATCATTCAGGATTTTTTCTAGATTCATGAACGGACCCCCCAGCACGAATAACCTAGGTACCCATTTTTTAGTAGCAGCTGCATTTTTCTGAGCTTTTTTAGAACAGTTTATCGGTTTTTACACCGTTTCATAATTATAAGATCACCCTGAGAAAGTGAACAATTGTTCATGGAGGAAAAGAAGTTTCATCGTTCAAGATTCTTATAGGGGAAAGCATGCGTAGCAAATGCATCTCTAAACCTGACTGTCAACACGGCTGGTGGTAGTCTGCTTTCCTCTGTTGAGAAGGCTCAAATTCGGGTTCTCCAAGAAGTTGGGAGCGAGCCATCTCCAGGAAAATAGGGAGGACCCTCTGCTCCATCCGAAGATTTCTGGAGAGCCTTATTGTCCTCAGATGTAACACCAGCTGTGGACGCCTACGCAAGGTTACTGACTGCCCGTGACGAGCGGGAGATTCTAAGGGCTGTTTCCAACAGTACGTCCTCCTTGAACCAGAACCGGTCAAAATCAAACCTCTGTGTCGAAAACTACAGTCTGGAGAGCAGTGAGAAGATGCGAGAACATCACCAGGAAAGCAATGGAGAAGGTGCCACGAATCACCGATCGCCACAGAGGGACTCCACTCGGATTTGCAAAGGTGAACCTAGGGAGAGATTGGGCAAAGGTAGATCTGCATCAAAATCTCACAATAGAGCTGAATAATTCCTATTCAGGTCGTCTTTTCGGATGAAGAGATTTTCAATCTAGACGGTCTTGACGGAAACAAGCGGTACTGGCGCGACTTGAGAAAGGAGCCAGTCTACTTTAGCGGTCGCAATTTCGTTAGAGGAAGTCTATGGCGTGGGATGCATTCTGCAATGATGTCGTGTTGGATTTACCTGTCGTGAGCTGCAGTATGGATTTCAGGGATTACTGGAACGTCTTAGAGCACCATCTAGTACCCTTTCTATGCCATCGCCGTCANCTCTGTGTCGAAAACTACAGTCTGGAGAGCAGTGAGAAGATGCGAGAACATCACCAGGAAAGCAATGGAGAAGGTGCCACGAATCACCGATCGCCACAGAGGGACTCCACTCGGATTTGCAAAGGTGAACCTAGGGAGAGATTGGGCAAAGGTAGATCTGCATCAAAATCTCAAATAGAGCTGAATAATTCCTATTCAGGTCGTCTTTTCGGATGAAGAGATTTTCAATCTAGACGGTCTTGACGGAAACAAGCGGTACTGGCGCGACTTGAGAAAGGAGCCAGTCTACTTTAGCGGTCGCAATTTCGTTAGAGGAAGTCTATGGCGTGGGATGCATTCTGCAATGATGTCGTGTTGGATTCACCTGTCGTGAGCTGCAGTATGGATTTCAGGGATTACCAGAACGTCTAGTAACCTTTCTATGCCATCGCCGTCACTTCAACTACATATGTCTTTCAACACGACAACGCCTCCATTCATGTGAGCCGTGCAACGGATGAGTGGCTGCAATGCCAATAAATAAGCGTCCTGCCATGACCAGCCTGCAGTCCCGATCTCAATCCGATGGAACATATCTGGGGTATAATAGTCAGACAGGTTTATGCGAATAACCGTCAGTTCCAGGGCACAGAAGAGCTGAAGCCGGCAGTTATCGAAGCATGGAGAGCAATCGATGAGGAACATCTTCGAAACCTAGTTTCTAGTATGCCACGCAGACTCTTTAATGTTGCTCTTAAACAAGGAGGAGCTATAGATTATTAAGTGTTGTGCATATGCCATCAACATTAATAAATCATTTAATTTCTCAGGGTGACCTTATAATTATGAAACGAAGCAAAAGCCGACACTATCTTCAAAAAATTCATAAAAAATTTATGGTGAACGATATTGCGACTAAAATTTGAATAAGGAGGTACATTGTGATGAGGAATCTTCCTGTGTTTGCCAAAAAATTCCACTCCGGCTGAGAACCATTTCAGACTATGTAGGGTTGTGAATTTTACGCCCTAGCCCCGCCCAACTCAGCGCAAATCCCGCCCACCTTGGGTATTCCACCGTATTTCTTCAATGACCTCTGACCACTTTTTTCGCACCTCAAACCTTCACGAACAGAGGTATGAACTTTTGGCCCTAGCTCCGTCCACCCCATTATCGCAAACCCCGCCCACTTTGAGAACTCCACCATATTTCTTTGATAGCCTCTGACCACTTTTCCGCGCTCTAGAACCCTTTTGAACGCAGTTATAATTTTTTTAACCCAGCTATCATAGTGCAAACTCCGCTCACATTGGGAATTGGAACAACTTCTTTTGATAGCCCCTGATCACTTTTTTCGCTTTCTAGAGCATTTTAGAAAGAGTTATATATGTATAATATAATATATATATATTTTTTTAAAAATATCTTACGTTCGAATGCACGCCCCGCCCATCGTGGCCAGAGCTTCACTTAATTCACACGTGTTCGGCATGCTTGAGGCCTTGCTCATTCCTTTTGATTTTTCCTGGCTTCTACGGCCTCGACGAATCGTGTTATTAACCTGTGGAGGAAGTACCGCCCATTGCGAGAACGTTCCGCCCACTGCTCGTGGGTCTCCCTCTGATCTGTTAACCTATTACTCACCTTCACCCTTCTTTCCCCGTGTCTGGATCTTTTCGAATCCAAAATAAGACGTTTGGCGATTTGCGCCCATTCCGGCACTTGCCCCGCCCCTTCGGGCCGGGCTCCGCAGAGCCCATATGTCATCCCAAACTTGTCCCGACCTCTGAAGGTGTTTTTTAGGTAATATCGAGTTTCCCGTTGAACATACATACATGTATACATACATACATACATACATACATAAATACATACATACATACATACATACCATATACCATATACCATATACCATATACCATATACCATATACCATATACCATATACCATATACCATATACCATATACCATATACCATATATAAATACCATATATACATACCATGTACCATATATCATACAGTAGCGCTCAAAAGTCTTCGGTGAAATGCTTCTTCAGTCGTACTTTTCAGTCGTAACTCTTTTCCCAGTGGATCGAATCATGCGAAATTTCAATATTCGTAGCATAGGTTGGTTGTGAACATTTACCACTATTTAACTGCAATCTGGTCACCTTCCAGATATTCCAAGCATCATGAATTCAAAATCAACTGAAAATACAGACGATGGTCCTTCTGGAATCTCTTTCCTTGTTGTCGGGTCTAAAGTGTACGAGCGGTGCGACGAATACAATAGTTGAGAAAAGCGCACATAAGGTGCGAATAAGTGCAGACGTCAGCAACTTTAGTTTTAGCAAAATCCGCTACCGCAACAAACACCTTGCTCTATCTGTGGATATTGAAGCTTCGCAGTCAAATAATGTTGAGTAGGGTGAAATATGCTCTACATAAAAAAAAGCGTCAGAGCATTTCACCGAAGACCTTTGAGCGCTACTGTATATACATACCATATATACATACCATATACCATATACCATATATCTCCATCCTTCGCTCTGTAGTATGCTCTTTCGGCAACTCCAGCATGTCTGATTTGGCATCTTCAAGCCGAGGATCCACCCATTTGTGTTGCGATCACTCGGCGATTGTTCCTCTTTTTTTGAAGATTACCGGTTCATCGAGATTGTTAAAGACTGACACTTCAGCCACTCCTTTTTCGGATACTGAGCACACCCCACTCTCGACCAAGCAGTTACCTGTGTGACCACAGGACGGCATCTTTCGAATGCTGTTCACTTGTACTCTACTACAAGTTTTTGGTTTTACATATGACCTCTTTGCTACGACAGCCATAAGCGCTTTTTGTGGTGTGTTTGAATTCCGACTCTTTCGATTCTTTCACTGTGCGCCCTCCGTCTTGTCACAATCCGTTTGTGTTTCATTTCGAGATAAGAACAGTATTTTTATCCAGAGTGCCTCTGAAGCGTGTGTTCCTTGTTGCAAGACTTCATATTTGAGTCGCTTTACGTCCATCTGGACAAAGCTTGTTCTTCCTCCAAGGAGTTTCAGCTCTGTCTTCTTGCACCCTACGAAGCTCATCAGGTTTCCTGAAGCGTCGAAAACTTCCATACCTCGGGCTTTCACCTTTTTACAGACGGTGTCGACATCTGCTCCTGCTTTTTCCGCTTTAAGCAGGAAGCTTAGCGGCTTAATAGTTAGCTGCGATCCAGTGTCGATCATAGCCAGGAGCTTTAACCCCAGACACTGCAGCTTGACCATATGTTTCATGCCTGTTAGGTTACACACCTTCGTGCCTGGCGTGCTTGCGCTGCAGGACCACCATTTCAGCGTGGCACTGAACGAATTACCTGCCTCTCTTTTGTCCTTTTTCGACCGACACTCTTCTGTGCTGTGTCCTTTCTTGCCACATTTTGCACATTTGACTGTAATGGGTGTCTTCTCAACCATCTTTGGTTGCTGTTCCTTGAACTTGCGATTTTGTGTCGCACTGAGGACCTTACTCCTACGACCGGAGTCGAAGTAAGGGACTTCCGTTGAAGTTGTTTGCTGTTTTAGGTCTGGTTTATCCACCTTCTTCTCACTGAAGTCATATCGTCTCTTGCGCAAGTGCTCGATGCTCAATGCAGCGTCCTTCATACGTTCATAGAAGTGATACCCTTCTTCATTGGTTAGGATTTCATACAAGTGGTACGCCTCCGGCCACTCACGGAGCTGCTCGTGCAACACTTCTGCTCGAATAAGTGCAAGGGCTACTTCATCGCAGCTCGAGTATGCTTTCGATGACAGAAGCTCTAGCTCGAGGCAGAACTGCACCACTGACTGATGTTCCTTCTTCTTCAACATTCACATCGCCCTCAATGCTTCCGCTTGAGACTCTTGACTTTCGAGTCTCATGCGGTTTTTCAGTTCTTTACCAACCGTGTCGAAGGGACTATTCTAGACTGCACTGGATAACGTATTGTAATGTAATTTTGCTTCCCTTAAGTATCCTACCGGAATCTCCTTGCGATCCTTTCGCTGTACGCCCTACGCGGATACTTCAATTTGGAGGCTCTTATAAAATCTTCAAACTTTTGATTAGATTCATTGTTAAAAACCTTAATGTCGGGCATAGCTAGTGGGCGGAAGAAGTCCCTCATTGTTTCATCCACTACACCTCCTATCCAAGTGTTACTACGCACTATTTGGCTAACTCTACTTTCATTTTCTGAGCCCTCGCTAGACATACCTGTTGGCCCACTCGGCAAATATAGGGTCGTCTCTCGTCTCAATGACTTCATTTCCTTCAACTTCAACGAAAGCTCTCTATCACTATCGTTGTTTGTTAGCGCTTCTCTGTGCGGATAGGATCACCATCCATACAAGTGCTCTGGCCCGTAGAGTTCTTTTCTTCGTTTTTCCAAGCGTTTTTTTCGCAGTTGAGCATTTGCGATCTGCAAATCGTTAATTTTGCTAATATTTCCAGTTGTTAAACTTAATAAATCACTTTCACAGGGCACACCCATTTACATCGTATAACCTTTGCAGTATATCTTCTACATCCTCGCGACTTACTGTCGTGTTGGCCATGCTTTGTTCATTCAGACTCTCAACCAGTGCTAATACTGTGCTGATCTTGCGACTGATTGCTTCCAACACAATGGGCGCCTTTTTTTCAGAAGTAGTGAAAAATTGCGCTAGCGCCATGTCGGCTTGGGTTACTATTTCTTTGATTTCCCTGCGCAGTCTCTTTATGAGCCGTTCGCTGCCACTCACCTGAGAGCTGGTCTTTTCCCTTTCTTTTCGTTTACATACTTTCAAACAGCCTCAGTATGGCATTCACAACTACCTCTAATCGCCTCCTCTAGTTTTCCCTTGTCAAGGTTTTTCAAGACTTTGTTGTAATAATCGGTGTAACCTACTCTTTCAGGAAGTGCGGTCAAATACTCACGTGGTATAAACCGATTCGACGATCACCACAAGCCTTTTATGCAATTCTTTTATTGCACGTCAACCTACAACGTACAAAGTAGTCAGAATTATTACACGGCAACCCGCAACAAAACAAAAGAATGGTATAACACAAAAAACAAACAGTGGGGTGGTGCTACAGAGGTAATACTGTGGAGAGATTTCAAAGGGAGGTATCGATATTGAGAGATTCAAAATAAAAGAAGACATTGCAACCGATACCGGCCAAACAACAAGTAATCGAGAATCGGTAATAGACTCTCAAGCACAAATAAGGTGAAGGTATAAAACGGGGAACCTAGAGGGGGGTTGATTCGCGAGTGCGCAACTACTGGAAGGGCTTCTTCTCCAACGGGAAGAGCGGCGGGCTTCCTGTCAGTGTTGCGAAATGTCGACTGCCTCTATTTGCGCTTGGTTCCGCTCGGTACTCTTTTTCCGCGCAATTCCTGCAATAGATTATTGATAGATCACAACATTGATCATTTGACTCCTTACCTGACACAATTGCATAGTCTAGCTGACAATGTATTATTATAGTTATATACGATTCTTATTGGCATGAATTCGCTTGATCGCTCACTATTACCAAATAAAATATCCCTAACGGATCGTGACTTGAAGGTTCGATTAAAAGGTATTTCATCGATTATTCTACTGCTTAAAGTGATAACTATATTATGAAACTTCTTATCTTCTTTTTTATCAATGTTGGTGTTGTTATATCGAAAATAAGCTAGCAAACAAAGTATCAGAAATCTAGATTTATGTTTTACTTTTTTTCCGGAGATAAGGAGAGGTCAATTATTTTGCTAATTTTTTCTTACGCAGGCTTTTAAGTAGTCTATAACACTAAATTGGTTTGAGAAACACTTCTCTATTAACCAGTTCATCCGAAAATCTCTATATAGTTTCTCTTTCTCCTCTTCTTTTTGTTACTGCGTATTCCTCATTACTTCTTTCCTTAGTAATTTTGAGTAGAATGAAGGGAGGATTATTTTTTCCATTAATGGGTTATCAATATCACTTATGTTACCATAACCTTTAATGTTATCGTTGAATCCAGACGGATAAGCAGTCATTAGGAGTTTAATCCAAAACAGCTCCTTTTCTAATAGAGTTGTTTTATCGTTAGACTCCAAATAATCCCATATTATTATCTATATCCCTTCACCACATCCGAGGAATTGATTGTATAATGGTGTATTTAGATTATGGCTATGTATGTTATTAATATGTTCCCCTATTCTCGTTTTTACTTTTCTTGTCGTCGTTCCTACGCACTGTGATCCACAGTCATTACACGTCAAGCAATAGACTACATTAGACGTAATGCAACTTGTGTTTGCTTTTTTATACGTGTCAATGCTCAGACCCGTCATGTGATACCACACGATTATCGGTATTAGTGATGCTGCAAAACTTTACATGTCTTGTTACACCGATGCATCCCTTGATTTTGTTGCCAGATTGATTTGATACATATTTACTAGCCTTACCCCTTACCTTTTGGAAAGTTGTTTTTTTGTAATAGTTAGAAGCATTTTGAACATTTTTTTACCTAACCAGGGAGGGGTAGTCTACTTATCTTGGAACTTTGAATCCAGACCCAGATAAATCGATAGAGTTTTGAATGCTGTTTACGAAAATGGAAATTAAAACTGCAAAATG